GGCGCCACCTGCTGGCCATCGCGCGAGCCGCAGGCCGCCCTCGGGATCCGGAGGAATCCCGGGTCGGGTGCCGCTTTGCAAACCAGAGGCCCCAGCTCTCACTGCATCTCACTTCGTTTTTACCACGCAGCCTGGACTGCATCCCCGCTTCTTTTTGCCAGTCCTGGGTCTTGAACTCTGGGCCTGGGCGCTGTCCCTGAGCTGCTTTTGCTCAAGGATAGCGCTCTCCCATTTGCGCTTGTTCTGCGTATGTGGTGCTGAGGATAGCGCTCTCCCACTTGCGCTTGTTCTGCGTATGTGGTGCTGAGGAATCGAACCCGGGGCCTCATGCATGCAAGGCGAGCGCTCTGGCACGGAGCCACCTTCCCAGCCCTGCGTCCCCTTTTGCACAGGGGCATGGGCGCCTAACGCAGCTGCCTTGGACCTGCGGCATCCGACGGGATCCCGCCCCAAAGCTCCCCGTGGAACTTCATTTTCCCTCAGTCTTTTCTTTTCTGAGTTGTTTAATAGTATTAGCTAATGTTTTCTACTAAAACGAGGGTGAAAGTGGACACCTGTTCTCCTCCATCCGTTAAACAGGCCCTTTCCTTCCCTACTGTGTATTGTCTCTCAGGCCTTTTCTGTAACGTGCAACTTAATCACTAGCTTTGCTGGCTTTCTTGCTTTGATTTTTATGTTTGAGAATTTTAAAATCACAATTTGGGAGTGAATGTGGTCAACTGTCTTACTGATCCTGGGTATTTTCTGAGATCATCTCTTCCTGTGCTTGAGCCAGTGACAGGGAGGCTGCGTTAGAACTTTTTGTGTCTGTGTGGATTCTGTTAGCCAATATTTTAGAAATGAAAATGAACTGTGGTTTCTTGTGCTATCTGGCTTTAAAATGAAGAGCACACTAACCTCAAACGATGCATGTGTAGTCAGTTTACATTTGTTTTTCCCTCCGAAGCCAGGAATAAGTTCTTAGAGGCAGCTGACTGGCTCCTCCCTGTTACAGAAATCAGACTTGGATGTGCCGAATTGCCCGCCACATCCAGCCAGACACGGACAAAGTAATTCCGGTGTTGAAGGTCAAGGGTGAAGTCGGGAAAGCTAACGGAATAATGTTGGACATAGAAGCTGCTTTATAGCGCTTTTTAAAAGAATACCAATTTACAAGGTGTGTGTACAGGGCAGGTGCCGCCCTTTGGTTTGCCTCTCCATTCACCCTTCCCAGCACGCTCTGCTGGGGCTCTGGGCCCAGAGACAGCCCTGCCTGAGCTTTGGAGATCCTTCTACAAGCTGGAGGCGACAGCGCACATCGGCCATCCCACATACTCAGGATGCTGAGATCTGAGGATGGAGGTTTGACTCTAGCCTGGGCGATAAATCAGGCTATCTCCAATTAGCCAGGAAAACGCTGCAAGTAGAGCCATGTCTCAAGTGATAGAGTGCCAGCCTTGAGCAAAAAAGCCAAATGATAGCTCAAGGCCCTGAGTTCAAGCCGTAGTACCAGCGCACGCGTGTGCGCGCGCGCACACACACAATTTGTAGAAGAGACAGAAAGGTCAACTGAGAAGCCTAGTAGAAGGCATTTATTTAGTACTTCATGTTCACCATGAGGTGTTCTACCGAAGGCTGAAATCTCCAGAGGACAGACGCCATGCAGTGAGGACAGTACAAAGTGCACAGGCCACGCAATCCTGGGGGAGTGTGACCCCGCCCGCCATCAGCACACTGGGGCTTTGGTCAGGCAGGAATTGGAGAGAAGGTGCGGCAACCTGGGGCAGCTGGGCTGGAACTGGGACACAGGACTCTTGAAGGCCTGGGATCTCAGAACACAGCACAGGAGGCTCTTAAAGAAGCCTGAGGTCAGAATGCAAACACAAAGCTCTTCTCAAATGTGTGATCATAGCTGGACTCTGGTGGCTCATGCCCTTTAGTCCTGGCTACTCAGGAGACAGATCTGAGGTTCCCAGTTCAAAGCCAGCCCAGGCAGGAAAGTCCATATCCCCAATTAAACAGCAAAAAGCCGGGAGTGGAGCTGTGGGTCAAGTAACAGAGCATTAGCTTTGAGCAGAAAAGCCAAGTGACAGTGGAAGACCCTGAGTTCAAGTCCCTGTGTACACACACACACACACACACACACACACATTATAGCCATAGATGGCCTTGTGGGATGGAGATTCAAGTGTGACTCGCGGTGAGGAGCTGGCTGGTGGTGCTGTGGGGTAGAAGGAAAGCATGCTGAAGAGAAAAGCCAAGGCCTTGCACAGATAGCTCACATTTACTATTGATTAGACAGCAGTTACAACTCCAAAATCTAGCAAACACTGGAAACCATTTACTGTGAGAGAATCTGTCAATACAATGAAGAAAAGGATTAGGAACAAAAGAAATATAAAGGCTATAAAGTAAGAACAACAAGAAAGAGGAGGAGTTGCAAACATAAGAAAATCACAACAGCCGGGCGCCAGTGGCTCACGCCTGTAATCCTAGCTACTCAGAAGGTTGTGATCTGAGGATCATGGTTCAAAGCCAGCCTGGGCAGGAATCACCAATAAACCACTAGAAAACCGGAAGTGGCGCTGTGGCTCAAGCGGTAGAGCACTCGCCTTGAGCTGAAGAGCGCAGGGACAGCGCCCAAGCCCAGAGTTCAAGCCCCACTATGGACCAAAAAAAAGAAAAATCATGACACCATACAAATGAATAAAAAGATTTGAAGATGAATAGGAAGGTTTTAGTTAGTGAAACAGAAAACTCAATGAACATGTTAAAACCTAGATTAAAGACTATTAGGCAGAGAATTAATGAACTGGAAGACGAATCTGGGAAAATTACCCAGAATAGAACATAAAGAAAGACAGCACAAGCAGGCAATCAAAGGAGAGCAGCAAGGGTGGAGGCGGAGGCCCAGTGCACGCAGCCTGCCCTGGCGAGGCTCCACGAGGCCTGCCTTCGTCAGGCTCTGGCTTTGTCACTTCTGCATCATTCCAAAGCAAGAATGTGCCTGAAAAACTCCCTGGGCAGGACACAGTGACTTATTACTCCAGGGAAACACCATGATGAGTCAAATAGAAAGTATCAGCAGAGAAACAATCTATTAAAAAGAACCAGGGGCTGGGAAGGTGGCTCAGTGGTAGAGCGCTTGCCTTGCATGCCTGAGGCCCTGGGTTCGATTCCTCAGCATCACATAAGCAAAAAGAAAAAAAGCTGGAAGTGGCACTGTGGCTCAAGTGGTAGAGCGCTAGCCTTGAGCTGAAGAGCTGAGGGACAGTGCCCAGGCCCAGAGTTCAGGCCCCACAACCGGACCCCAAAAATAAATAAATAAAAAGAACCAGAAAAAGTTCTGGAGCTGAAAGTCAAAAATCACTTTACAGCCATCTCCGCGCTACCCAAAGTGTTGTTTATTGTGGTTTCCGATACTCACAACCAACGACACGTTAAATGGAACATTCCAGAAATTACCTGATCACAGCTACGCCTACATGGGAAAACACGTTTGTGTGCAGGGCCCATACTCCCCCAGTTTCTGGCACCCACCAGGGAACTGGGTCCACACCCAGAGAGGGGGTGGGGGAGGGGAGGGCGCCCTGCCTTGGCTCTGCCCACCCCCAGGCCCTCTCCCAGGCCTTTTCCCGGGCCTTGCTGTAAGGCTTCAGGGTTCTGGCCCCAGGTACAGATCCTCCTCATTCGGGGTTCCCGGTCTCTGCCTCCCCCACCCCAGGTGGAACGGCTTCCTCTGCTCCCTTCGGCTCTGCCCATGACCAGCCTCGGCTCCCTTCGGCTCTGCCCAAGACCAGCCTCAGCTCCCTTCGGCTCTGCCCATGACCAGCCTCTGCTTCTTGTGTTCAGCCCCCTCCTTGCCTTGCCAACCACCTTTGTGGTACTGGGGATTTGAACCCAGGACCTTAAGCAACAGGCTAGGCAAGCGATCTACCACCTGAGCTGTGTCCGATCCATGGCAATGGCTAAGTTTGGGGTGGTTTGACTTCCTGACTGGACCCTGCCTGGCATGCCAGAGGTCATTGAAGACCTGAGCAGAATCTGGAAAAGGAGGAGCCGGCCCTGGCAGCCGAGCTGCACATTTGCACAGGGCTTGAAGACGCCCCAGTTTAGGGTGGAGAAGCAAAAGGATCAGATTATGTAGCAGGCAAATTTCTTTGTGTTTCTGATTCAAAATCCACACACCGATGAGTATTACTGGTTCAATGACAGAGTAACCAATAGTTGTCAAAGCAGCAAACTTCATCATGTAAATCCTGATCTTGCAAAACTCGTTGCAACGCTTGAAAATCCATGAAATGATGAAATAAAAAATCCAAAGAAGCGAATGGAACAGTGTTCATCACATGTACAGCAGGCAAGCTGTGGAGCTTGATCTTAGTGCACAGGAGGTCGAGCTGTGGAGCCTGATCTTAGTGCACAGGAGGGCATGCTGTCAGTGGAGACTGATCTTTCTATGTAACCCAGGCTGGCCTAGACTGGAACTAACAATGATCCTGCCTTGATCTCCTGAGTGTTGGGATTATAGGCAGACACCACCCCACCTGGCACACTGAACAATATGGCAGAGTCTGTGAAGGGGAAGTTGAAAAGGCCAATCGTAACTCCTAGGAGCTCTGTGGACAGATTGGGGGATTAACCAGGAGATAATTTTTTTTTTTTTGCAGGAACTCAGCACAGGGAGCTAATTTGTTTTTATATTTTATTTGGATTGTTTCTCTTAGGATTTTAGAAACTGTAATTTACTATATTGCACTGAAAGCTAAAGTTGAACATTTCACTCACATTTCTATTGTTATCTGGGAGTTCAGAAAGAATATGTTTCTCAAAATTCTAACCTTTTCCAAGCACACACTTTCAGTGTTTAAGCATCTCTTGCAGTACCAGTCTCCACTTTGTTCCATCCCTGGTCCTCTGTCATCGCTGTCAGTCAGACGCACAGACGCACAGGCCGGCCAGGCAGCGGGCTGTGAACCCGGAGTCCAGTCCCTGGGGAGAAGAGGCCGGGTAGAGACCCCAGCTCCCCGCAGGCTCCGTGCACGGGCCCAGCCGCCGACGTGCTGCTTCTGAAAAGGCTAACTTCCCACCGCACACAACGCCCGCAATCCTCGGTGGAAACATTTGGTGGAAATGGCAGGGATAATTTTGGCCACGTAGCTCCTCCAGGCTTATCTTGCTTAGCCACTAACACTCTCAATTTAGGAACCGCGCTGGCATCTTTTCCAGCTGCTGGACTGTCCGCGTGCCACCGGCTGCCACGAGTCTTATGTAGCGATAGCCACAATCGTTCAAACTTATTCATTAAAGCACAATTAACTTGTTTGTTAACCCAAGGAAAGGGCACATTAGATAGTCATACTTTATGGACCACCATAACTCACTAGGACATTTATTTTTCCCCAAATATTCTTCTCTACGGATTGAGATATCTGACTTTCAGCAGAGCCAAAGCAGGAGTGGATAATGACACACCAATGTTCCCACTTCTGCAGTGGGAAGGATCATCTCAGCCTACCTGAAAGATACATGTGCTGTATTTCATAGTATATAACGTAACTTGGATACAAATGTATGAACTGTGAGTCTTTCAGATATGACTAAATTACCCCCGCCCTTCACATGGGCATACATAAACAATATACATGCGCATATACTCATATTCCTACAATTCAATATTTTGGACTTGAAATGACCATTGCTAGAATACTAAAGGAAGTGGCAAGGTAAGCCCCTGCATATAATAGCCAAGAATAATATCCAACAGCTCTTTCTGCTCAGTATGGACACAGTTCTGTGACTACTGGAAATGGATACTAAGTCAACTGTGTCCATCAAGCTCATATTTTAAGGACATCTTTTTTTATTTTTTGCCAGTTTTGGGGCTTTGACTCTGAGCCTAGGCACTGTCCCGAGCTCTCTTTGCTCAAGACCAGCACTCTACCACTTGAGCCACAGCACCACTTCCAGCTTTCTCTGTGATTAGACATAAAAGTCTCACAGGTGCCGGCGCTGGTGGCTCACGCCTGTAATCCTAGCTACTCACGAGGCTGAGATCTGAGGATCTCGGTTCAAAGCCAGCCCGGGCAGGAAAGACCGTGAGACTCCTATCTCCAATAAACCACCAGAAAACCAGAAGTGGAGCTGT